GTAGTGGCTGGTATTTCCTGTTTGGGGCCTGTGTCTTTTTTTTCTGGTGACGCATTCGGCCATGTTGTTGGGTCTCTTTGTGTCAGCTTTTAACTGTAATTCGTCCCACTCATGCATGCCTTGTTCATTTTACTAGTGTGGTTTTAAAAATTGACAGAAAGAAAGGAAAGCAGTCCGGGAAGATCTACTCACCTCCAAGGTTGTCGCCCCAGAAACCGAGTCGGTCGTGCGGCAGGAAGAAAGGAAAGCAGTCAGGGAAGATCTACTCGCCTCCAAGGTTGTGTGTCAGATATCCCAATGGGTAGCCTCCAGACTGGTTTGGCTGTGGGACAGTCCAAAGATAGACCTGTTCGCCACATCCCACAATGCTAAGCTATCTGCATACGTGACACTTCTGCCAACTCCAGGAGCGTGGGCTATGGACGCATTGTCGATCCCGTGGGCCCCACATAAACACGTACATCTTTCCTCCCTTTCTGCTAATTCGATAGGAACGCACCACTTACACGCATGGAGGCTCACAGTAGACTCGCACAGATGGAAGGTTTATCTGAGCAGGCTGCCAATGTCCTGACCAGGGCGAATAGCGATTTCACCAACGCAGCCTAAGACTCTAAATGGCAGGCATACATTGTACGTTGATTGGTGTAAATAAAGGAAGGGAGATTGATCCATGCCATCCCTCTGTTGGCCAGGTAGCTGATTTGCTCGTCCATTTATTTGACGAGTTGGGCTTGTCCTATGCAGCAATCGTTGGCTAGGTCAGCCCACCATCAAGAATGCTTTGGGGACAAAACTAGCCGATTGTCCTATTATTAGAAGACTGTTTACTGCTTTCCATAATCAGAGCCCTAGATTTCGAACTAGGGAACTGCCCAATTGGAACTTGTCGGTTGTGTTGTCTGCTTTAAGCAGACTACCCTTTGAACTGCTGGTATCAGCACCACTGAAATATTTGGCGTAGAAAACAATCTACCTACTAGCTCTCACTTCTGGCAGGCGTCGCTCTGAGCTAGGGGCCTTGTTCTTCTTGGACGGTTGTGTCGCCTTTATGGACAATTAAGCTGTGCTAAAGACATGAATTGGGTTTCTCATCGAGAACCAAATCCCAGGGCACTGTGACAGTGTTTATGGCCGACTGGCGTTCTCAGCATAGGGTCTACAGAGACACCAAGTATGAGCGAATGAGGTTTGTGCGATCGTCAACTCATGAGTTCTTGTTTCAGGTGCCCCCCTCAAACACTTCTGGAGAACACATAACGTCTTTATCAATTTTTATTAGGGTGGGTCCCATTGTCACGGGACTTTGATTGTTGACCCAGCCCGGACAACCACACGGATCCCTGTGCATAGGCGAAAGAGCAGTCTCAGCTACAGATTTGTGCAGAAACATTTCTCTCATCAGTGCTCCTTGGACATTCCCAGGTCACGATTTTGGCCTATGACTGACCAGAGTAGAGTCTATGGTGGGTAATTGAACGTAGTGAATATAGGCAGAGGTTTTTCCACCTATTCATACCCACTATAGACTCCAGGTCCCTCCAAACCACCCCACTTTCCTTAATGATTAGCTTTAAGTTCTTGTATATGGAGAAAACAGGGGAGTGAACATAAGGCAAGATTGCGCTGACCTCTTGATCACTTGGTCACGTGTTACGTGACGGAAGATAATCTTGAGCTCATGGGGCTTCCCCTGAACTAGATTTCTCTCTCCTTCATTGGCTGAATTGCAGTATTATATTATCAATGATTTTGTATCATCTTGGTCAATGTGTATTTATTATATGTAGTGTTCGTTTGGAAGAAATCTGTGTTGTGGTGCTAAATCTCAGTGATATGCATCTTCTGTGCCTGATACATGGATGCTGATGGTTGAAATAAAACCTTGAGCGCTATGTTCTGGGAGTTCTGAGTAAGACGAGATGTAAAGGTGGAGCATGTTGAATGGACTAGCTCTCTCTACAAAGGAAGGATGGAAAGCGCCTTGAGAAAACTGTGCACAAGAAGTTATGAGTATTTGGATGCGAAGGTGCATGAGCGTACTAAAAACACTATTCCACACATAGGGGGAATAGAATGCATTTAGTGGTACTGCACCAAGGACCAGCTCGAAGGAGGATGGATGGATCACCCTCTCGACTCCAGCTCCCAATCAACAACTACCCTCGCCCAACCTCCCCCTCTTGCTTCTGATTCTCTCACTTATGATACTTCTCGACCTCCCCTTCTCATTTACGACTCCCCCAACCTATCCCTGTCACTTAAAGTACCTCCTAAACTTCCTCTGCCGCTTACAGTCTTTACCATCCTCCTCATGGCATTTTCTCTTATGTATGTTTTTTCCCCCGGCCTGTCCTTCTTGTTTATGACCCTATGTGAGACTCTCTGTCTCGCTTAAGACACTTCCAGACCACCTCCACTTGCTTACAGCTCCTCTCGGTCTCTCTCTCTTTCCCGTACAGAACCTCCTGGCTACTCTCCCACGCTCACAATCACTCCCACCACCCCACCCCTCTGGATGTATACAGCATAATACTAATAATGATATTATAGATTTGATTTCAGGCCAAAAAAAATGGATATATATGATATAGACATAAACAAAGGTGTAAACATTCATATGGGAAAACGTTGATGCATCTGCAATATCATTGTCACTAGTAATGGTGCCAAGACACATTTCCTAACAATTGATATATGATAATAAAGTCATAATAAAATTCTGAATACATGCTTTTCTAAACAAATGCAGAAATGTATACTTTACCGGTAAGTTAGATTAAACACCAGTAAACAGTGCAACAATACTAAAATCATATAAATATACTATAAATCATGACTTGCTTTTACATGATACTTGAGAGCACACAACACTAATATGTGAACTATATACAATTTCCTATTCCTGTTGACAATTCACACCACAAAACAAAGTCCAATACAGCGAAGATGAACCATGAAACAACTACAAAGACCTCTGCATGCTTTTTCGCATCCACAATGAATCAACTCATGGCATGATTTGGATGATTTTGGCATGTGGTCCAATTTGGTGTCCAACCTGTCCCAGCTGACTGCTCGATCATCTGGACTTGGTAGTTCTTGAATATGGATGAGGGTTTGTCCTTGTACATGACCAGGCGGTAGGCAGCTTGTTTGAAGTGTTCCAAAAGGGAAGTCTGACTTGGTTAAACATACATCTTGTACCATGCTTGGCGATCTTCATTGACTGTGAGGAGATGTGCAATTATACATCAAAACAACGAATCCTTCCTCTGCTTAGGAATCATCCTCTGAGATTGTGACTGGTGTAGCAGAGAGGTTATGGAATGCAGATGTTATGTTTTGATCTGTTTTCTAGGTCTCAAATGCAATGTTTTACCTCTCCCGGATGAGGCAGATATACTGTGTCACATCCAGTAAAGGCATAAAAAAATGGTTCGCATTTGTTCGGACCCAGAGCAGCTAAATTCGTAGACTTGGGCAAGGTGTAAAATGTAATCAGTTATTTTATTTGTCCGTATCTTATTTTTGTAAGCGTATGAAGCATTTTCTGCATTAAATGATGTAATTAGTACGCAATTTCTATTTGATTCTTGAACACAACTACATTTCTACAACTACATTTGCTAGTATTGAAATACAAATTCTAAGTAATATCGAAACATGCTTATTATTATTACTTATTGAAAAATTAAAAAGGCAATTGGTTTTGTGAAGAACGTAGAACACATGAATACCACTATTTGAATAAATTGTCTAACATCTACTAACAAACTTTTAATCAAAACAATTTCTGGCTCAAAAAATATGTAATATATTACTAGTATATGTACCAAATGTTATGCTTCTATCATAATTTGAATAATCGTTATGACATAGAGGGCGCTGCTCAATTACTACTACCGGTATACCAGAAAATGATCACCAGTCTAGGTAGTACAGTTGTGCCCAATAATTTCATGTTCCACTCAAAAGTGCATAATGTTTATAGTCTATGGCGGATTAATCTGCTATTTCATATATATTAAATATTTGGCCAAAAACATATTTTTATGAAATGTGTAATATCTTAAATTTTGACGACTCGTGATTAACATATGCAATGTATTCCATCAATATATTACAGTTTTAATGATTGTTTCTTTTTCAATTTACAAATTGTTGATAAAAAATGTTGTATTTTTTCCACCCAAATATCAGTCTTTGAAGTAGAGATTTGAAGAGGGCTCTTATTTTATTTTTATTTTATTTTGATAAGCACATCAAACTCTACACTCTCTCTATGTACGTTTGGCAATTTATTTATTTATTTCATGGCTATTGAGCACCACTCTGATCACTGTTTGCAGTTATGTTTTAAATACAGTACAAGTCTATGGTCAAAATAATATACTAGTCAGTATATTTCAATGACTTAGAGCTGTGCTTTTCATATGGTAAATATGGTCTCCACGATTTGTACTTCATGCCTCAAATATTCTTAGCACACGGAATTTATTTCTAACTTTTTTTTTTATTGTACTTGTCAGTAATGTTATTTCATCAATTGTTTCGCGAATTGTTTTGCTATTTTTTAATAAATATTTGTTCGTTAACTGCACCGGCCTTGGACTAACCTTCAATTGACCTAGGGAGCGTTCTTATGTGTTAATGCTCCCTAGGCTCCCCGCAATCTTACGTTCTGCTACCCATCGTAATGAGGATAATGGTAAACCATGAAAACGTCGCTTTCTTCAACGAGCTCGTCATCAGAGGAATACTTTTAATAATATTTATGTGAGTATTGAGTTATTGTTGATGTTAATTTCTAGTATTCCATACATGTCATACTCAACAACAACGTCAACCTGGCGATAAGCGCTGGACTACTCGATCGGGTCACTGCCGACCAGACCAGTTCGATTTAATCTTATGCTCCCATGTTTCAATGACAGACCAAACACCGTGGTGATCAGACGTATATTTAATCTGCAGAACCGGGCTACTTTGAGATTTTGAGGTGGGCAATATAAAATTCCCTTACATTTGAAATATTTCAGAATTGGCACCCCCCCCAGATTTCATTGGTTCGTTTCGTCCCTTAGCTTATTCGTATGTTCATGCATTAGTATGTTATTGCTGTCATTATTTGTTGTCAAATTTCATTACAATATAACTATCATATTCTGAATGATTTAGACTGAAGAGGTTACTTGTACACTCTCCGCTAAAAATGACACTCACAATTTAGTGTGACATATAATGTATGGTTCAGTAAACTTTCCAAATTGTGCACCAAATGTCATCAATTGAATTTATGTGTGTTGAAAAATTATAGTTCAAGAAAATCACAAATTATTTGCTCTTCTTGGCTTCATATTAGCTATATCTTTTTCTTTCATCTTCAGTTTGATATGATATTATTTGTTTGTTTTTTCTATTTCTTCGATTTCTATTTCTATTTCTTCAATCACAGAGTAACTGATGATATGAAGCCATTTTTTAGAGTTATTCAACCAGAAGAGATGTGGCTCTATAAAAATCCCTTCGTAGAGAATGATCAAGCTCCTTTTGAAATAGTTTTGGTAAGTAAGCATTATCCTCTTGGATTTACATGGAATGTATTTCTGGTAGTTAGATTTTTTAAACTCGCCCTCTGTCCATAAATTTACTTATGCCCATGTTTGCCCCTTTTTCTGTGAGATTTGTGACTTTTCATCACTTTTTTCATAATTTGTTTTTGCTTTGATTTTAAATGAGCACAAATAGAGGTAGCATTTTTAATTTACCCAACCTCAAGTGTTGCACATATAGGTATTTTGCTACATTGTATGTCACATGTAGAATATCATCCAAGCATACCAGAAACCATAAATAGTGATCCCTCTAAAAATAAATTTATCCCATAATCGTATGAGGGTTGGTTTAGTGAGCAGTAACAGCAAATCTGTATTCAAATGAAAACTCACAAATTTAAATTACAATGTTATTTTTTACAAGATATCAAATTCTTGACAATACTATATCATACTTTAATAAACATGAGATCACATTGACAAGTTGTATACATTTTTTTTTTTTTTTTTTTAGATCTAACATTTAGGGTACTTATATCCAGAATGTCAATCTCATTCATAAATTATATTTTGTGACTTTTTGGGCAGATTTTTCTTTTTTTAATCTCCACCTCTGTGATGTTGCTAGATTGCTGCTAGATTTTATCCTGAAAGAAAATAAATTTATGATTTCATTGACAGAATTGTAGTTCTCATTCAATATTGTTTGTCAGGATTAGGAGATCTTACTAAATGTAGAACTAATGTAATCATATAATGCAATCAGAATCAGAAATGAGATGAGGACAACGTGTGCAGAAAATATAATTTTTCTCCCAAACTGCATTACTTTGCTGTGATTATCAGTGATTTGTTGTGGATTCCAAGGAAGTTTATAGCTTGAACAAAACCCTTGAGAAATTATTTCAATATCACAACAGTTATAAATCTGTCTGTCGTTACTTTAGTTTTTGTTTATTTATTTATTTATTTGTCAAACTAACTACTTGATGAATATTCATAAAATGCATGGATTGACTGGAAGTTCATTATTGTTATTATTTTGTAGCAATACCAGTAGATTTGCTGCCACTATAAAGCAGAAAACATGGAGAAAAGTTCACAGCAAATGAAAGTTTCACAGTTACTGGCCCCTGAATCTGCATAATTTAATATGTCATTCTTGAAATTCCTTTCCACAATTTCATATGACAAAATAAGAATGAAATTTAATTTTAATCCATCAAATATTATTGTATTGTTAAGCGACACGATTGGGTTGAACTGACAGCGGAATGTAGAAGTACATGTACTAGATATGTCGCACCCTAACACGCTTTAGCATACAGAGCAGATAACTATGTCCTAACAAAATTGTCTTATTTCGATATTGAAATCTGTTGTTATGGACCATCTTATTTTATGCATATTTTAGTATTAAATGCTACCATGTAATTGTCATATTTCCTTTTTTTTAGTCCCAGAAAGACGATTATTAATTCTTTTTCTGGATTCCTTCTGTCCACTTCCCTTTATGTCTCTAACATTTTCTCAGAAATTCTGCAGCAGATATCAATGAAACTTAGCAGGTTGAACAAGTCTCTGTTGAGTACGCACATAATTTTTTTTCCAGATCTGAAAATCCTAAGTGGGTCTTTTTCATAATTTTCATCCAAAATTACCTCTCCCTACTGCACTGAGAGAACAACTGAGCATGATCAAAATAAATAATTAGCTTAGATTGTAATGCTAGGGTTTTTAGTGATGTAATGACCTGGTCATCCCCTTGATCTGAATCAGTGACAGATGGGTCGCACCATTACCAATCTCAGGAGAAAATGTATAGGGGTGTTAGGGCTACATTTTGATGGGAATTATAGTGGTGATAATGAAACAAACCCAGGTCCTGGTAATATACAAAGACCTGAATTAACAAAGAAG